GTCATGATATACGGTTTGGAAGTTGGGCTCTTTTAAAAAATTATGTTTGTTTGATTCAAATATTATGAGTTTCTTATATATTTAGACAAGATAATAATTGATTCTGTTGTGGGTGAAGTTAGACCTCCTAATGGCCTTGGTCCTAATATTTTATTCAGAATTCAGATAGCTTAAAACAAGATACTCTGCTTTAAGAGATAGCTCTATTTTTTCTTGAAATAGAAAAAAAATGGAAGGCATGTGGATCTATGTTGTGAATCAATTGCTACCATTGGCTGGCCCCTAGCCGGGTCAATTTGGCCCAGAGCTATAGTGAGCTATTTGCTTTGATTGTGAAGTTTATTACCGTGAGCAATATACTTGTCTTTGTTTCCCAATTTTGGTTGAGGCTTTTTACATTTTGATGTTAAAGATGCCTACATGATGCTGTTGTTTTTTATTTTATATGTCTAATAATGCCTGTATGCTTGAGAAATATTTCTATGTGGTGAATCAAATATGATCAGTGTGTTTATTTCAAGTAAGCTTTGAACTTGTGTTTATGCTTATGATATATTTTTTTGTGAATCCTTGCTTGAAAATAATAATGTACCTTTTCTATCGGAGAAAAAAAGTTCACTACTATCTTGAGTTTGTGGGAAATCTTCCATAAACTGCAAAACATGTGAACTTGGTATTTCGAACTTGGTATTTCGTTATTTCCTAGTCATTTTGTTCCAAGTGAAGGACAGTCTCCCGGAATTGACTTTGATGTGAAAAGCGTGAAAATTATGGCATATCAGAGTGCAATTGTGGTTTGATGTGTCATTTATTTCTTGGTTACTATGAAACGTGTTATTGTTTATTAGTTGGGTGCTTGATTGATTCTCCAAAGACTTGAGGTGCCTCTGAAGTAGTTTCTGACTGATTCTCGAAGAGGTATTATACAGAGACTGAGCTAAAACAACAAATAACTGCTTTTTACCATTTTTATTTTTCTTAAGATTGTGCTTGGCAGTGTCTAACCCATGTGGCACGCTTTTTACCAAGTTCATTTGTTGTTTAAGAAATTGGATATATGCATACTATAGTAAAATGTTATATTTTGGTAAAGATAAATTATCTTGTATGCCTTTTTGTGATTCTTTTGTGCTTGGCACGCGATGTGTTAAGTTTTCTTGCTTCACCTTCCCCCAAACCCTCTGCTTGTTCTGAAATCCTTCAATGTTGTCGTGCTGACGTGTGGTGTCTTGCTAGTGTTTCGGTTCATGGTGTAACTAGATATTATCTGTCTATTATTGATAATGTTTCAAGAAATGTCTTTGGGTTCTCCTTGCAAAATAAATCTGATTGGTTTGAAAAGTTACAGATATGAAAAGTGTTGAGTGCAATCAAACTGGGAAAAAGATCAAAATTCTTTTTGATTCATTCACCATTTGAAAGTAGTGTGTCAATTGTAACTACCTTGGTTATAATCTCTATCATAGATTTTCGCAAATGTATCGGAACTAATGATTTGTTCAGGATAAAATGTTTCCAATGAATGCGTCACTAAATCACGACACGCGTGTGTATGATGCCTTTTCTTTTTTCGGAGTATTGAATCAAATGCTCAATTATCTTTACACACTGCTGCTTGACGATGGTGTTTATATTGTCTGTTGTGAGTGCATTGTACATTTTCAGATAATATCTAGTGGCATATTCTGTTATGACTTAGACACAGCTTACACTGCATGCCTTGTGGTGCCATTATTGAGTGCCTCCGCCCATATGTCATTTGGAAGTGAAGGCATCATTAGGTCATTACATTTTCACAGAACCGTGAGAATGACATACTTCTGGTTTTTCTCTCACATGAAAACATGATGAATTAGAGCATTTTAAAGTCCTCGGCTCTTTATGATTTAAGTCCATAAGGTTGGGTACTTGGGTTAGTTAAGCAGAGAAATTTAATTTTTAAAGTGGTTTTGTACCTTTTTGTTCTTGAACTTGATTACAAACTGACCTCGATATTCGTTACTCCATTTTCTGCTGACAAATGGTCCTCGTTGTCAACTATTCCATTTCACGCAGATTTTTGAAATGTTTTGTATTCCCGTTGACTGAATAGTAGTGTGCATTTTAAAAAAGTCAGATTGTGCAGATTGTGATATGGTCAGACAATTCTATTTTATGATCTCACTGCCTTTTCCATATAGTGGATTCTAATTCTTAATTTCTATTTGGCTGTTGGGTATTCGTAGAGTTCCCTCAATGTCTAGCAGGAAGGACACAATTGCCAGTTTGTTGGCATCTTTAATGAATGTTGTGCGAACAACTGTTGCATGTGAATGTGTTTATGTGCGTGCAATTGTGATCAAAGCACTGATATGGATGCGAAGTCCACATGAATCATTCGATGAAATGGAATCTATCATTGCATCTGAGCTTTCAGATCCTTCTTGGCCAAAGTTGCTGAATGACGTGTTGCTCACATTGCATGCTCGTTTTAAGGTACACATGGGGTAAACAATGTTCAACTAATCTTTTTGGACACAGATTTTTTGGTGCTGTTTTCTAGGTAGAATGAGTCGAACCTATAATTTACACTTGCTTTCTCATTGTTATTCTTAAGTCTTAGCTGAATTTTCTTTTCAGTATATCACAAATGTGTCTTACATCCTTTTCCGTTGGTTTAATTGTTAGGCTACACCAGATATGGCAATAACTCTTGCGGAAATTGCTAGAATAATTGCAAAAAGAAAGATCGATGCTGATGTACTGCAACTTCTTAGGAAAGTATGTTCCAAGAGCGCAAATTCTGAGTTGTTACTTTAATCTTTATTTTGACTTCTTTGCCTAATAGTTGTATGTTCACTAGACTTGTTTGGTTGGAGCGGGACCTGAATGAGGAAAGCATACAGCTCTAGAAGCTGTCACAATAGTTCTTGATTTACCCCATCCTCAACCTGGCTTAATCCTGGGTCTGACCTCAATTTATCGGGTGTCCGCATCTGATCTGAAGTCAGCTTTTGGTGTGCTTTCAGCGGCTGGGAGGTGTGTATTTCTTGCTTTGCCTTTTCTTCTAGAGTTTTTTATTTATTTATTTTATTCTATGCATGTGAAACTTCTATATGTATCATTGTGTTTATTTCAATTGAGCTCTGCACTTGAATTCATGCTTGTGATATGTTTTTTGTGAATCCTTCTTGAAAATAATCATGTACCTTTTCTATGGGAGAGAAAAAGTTCAGTTACTATCTTGAGTTGTGAAAATTGTACCATATCAGAATGCAATTGTGGTTTGCTGTGTCATTCATTTCTAGGTTACTATGAGACTGGCTTATTGTTTATTAGTTGGGTGCTTGATTGATTCTCAAAGACTTGGAAGTAGGTATTATACAGAGACTGAGCTAAAATAACGAATAACTGCTTTTTACCATTTTTATTTTTCTTAAGATCGGGCTTGGCAGTGCCTTAGGGCTTGATTGTTTATGAAATAATTTGTTCAAATTGAGTTATTTTGGTCAACTATAGTTAATTTTGAAAAATGTGGTATGGTTAGTTGTAGTGAAATTTAAAATAATATTTTTTGTCCATTGCAAATGGAGCTGGAAGAGTCATTGTTGACAATTCTCCTGGCATAGTGCTAATAATGGACTAGATCAAAATGGCTCAACTAAATTCTAGTGCTTCTTCTATTAGTGAAGTTTCTAGAAAAAATATATCAAACGACGCAATGCACTTTGGGTCGCTACGGAAACAGCCTCCTTGTATAATTACAAGGGTAAGGTCTGCGTACAACTGACCCCCAGACCCAACCAGTTGGGAATATGCTGGGTATGTTGTTGATTAAAATAATATTTTTGAAATAAAATGATTAAAATTGATTTGATGTAAAAATAAGAGATAAATGATTGGAAATGATAAATAGTTAAAATTATGTGAGTGGATGAATAGTGAATTAAAATTGATGTGATGTGTAAAAATGATTGATTTGTATTATTTGATTATATGAATAATACTAAAGATAGTGGGTTTGTGTTAAAGTTGATTTAAATTTTGAGTCGAAATAAAAATGAGTAATTAGTTTTTTTTACCTTGTTCATTTGTCGTTCGAGCAATTAATTTGCCCCATGTTTTTTTTATTAATAAAAAGTTAAAATTATTTGCAGTTTGACTACATGGAAATATATATGAATATATGAAAAATGTTATGTTTGGTAAAACTAGTTGGTAGCTAATAAGTTAGTTTATAGCTTATCAGTAATTTTATAGCTTATAGCTTAAAAGGTAGCTTATATGATAATAGTGTTTGGTAAAATTAGCTGATAAGCTAGCTTGAATAAAAAATTCAACTGGCTCATTTGAAAAGCTACCTAAGGAAACTTATCAAATAAGCTCGAGCTTTTTAAAAAAGCTCGTCCTACCAAACGAGGCTTATTTGAATATAGGGAGCTTATCAGCTAAGACTATGTTTGGTAAACCAATAAGTTAGCTTTTATAACGTATTTGATTAGCTTATAAGTTTCATGTATTTAAATAAGTTCCGTTTGGTAGGACGAGTTTTTTTTTAAAAGCTCAAAGCATATCTCATAAGCTTTTTTGGGTAGCTTTTCAAATAAGCATGTTGAAAATTTTATTTCAGCTAGTTAATTTTACCAAACACTTTTATCATATAAGCTAGCTTTTCAGTCATAAGTTATAGCTGCTATAAGCTCGAAAAATAATAATAAGCTATAAGCTAACTTATCAGCTACTTTTGCCAAACATAGCCTAAATTAATATAAAATAATTGTCATGTTTTAAGTAATGCAATAGCTGTGAATTTCTTGTTTAATTAGTAATATAATATCCGTTTTGGAGATGGACTCTATACCCGTATTGTTAAATCGATTTTTGAAGAGGTTCCTCTCTAAAATGCCTTACAAAACTTTAAAGTATATCTTAATTTTCGCTTCTGTTTAACAGTTTTAGAATATAAGTTGGGCCTGGCACCCACAAACTGTACCCACACACTGAGTGCGTCTCGCATTTCCATGCTATCTCCATGCTCGCTGTTCTACATCGAGGAGTTCGAAATCGGTGGAGGGGACACCATAGCAAGCGGGTTAAGGTTTTCACCTCCGCTTTAACTTTTTCCAGAGTCTCATTTTTTATTTCTTGTGCAATGTCATTTTAGGGTTTATACACACTTTGAAATAGGGTTAACTTTGTTTCTACTGGTATCTAATTCTGTGTAAAGGACAGGGATCTCAAATGATATTTGCTGCTGTGTAGATACTCCTTACATTGCCATACTGCTTAATGATTTAAGAAGTGTAGATTGCTCTGTTATGGCTATCACAGCTGATATTATTGTGTACTTGAACTCTTTTGAGTGTTGTTTGGTTTTCTTAGATAAGCTAGCTTGTACAGGTGCTGTTTCGTACTTTCGTTGGCCTTAGAGGCATTTCAGAGGGACTAATACAGTCTTCTCGTAGGTGGTAGTAACTCCATTGTTGTGGTGGCTGGCTTGCTTATACTCAGTTTGAGTACTCTGTTGTATGAACTTCTTCATTTGAGTTATTTTATTTTGTTTGTTGTTGGAGAAAAAAAAAAGTATCTAGTTCTGTGTTCTACATAGTAGTAATTGAAACTGAAATTGCTAGACTAGTTTTAACTTACCGTACTAACTATCATTATTTGTTTCAGGATGCAAGGACTTCTGAGTCGAATGACTCTGCTGGTGCAAGTAGTACTTGCGATAAGAGTTTTTTTCTAGACCTCAAAATTTTTATTTACTAGGTTTACCTAAATAATTTTGGTATTTATTTTCATTTGAAGTTCATGCACGGAGACTACAAGCTTTAAGGGCTCTTACTTATGCTCCTTCCAGCAGCTTGGGAATTCTATCCAAGTTGTACGAAATTGTGTTCAGCATCCTGGACATGGTTTGCTCCAGATCTTAGTCATGGAGTTATTAATGTGTTTTATCCTTTTATCTTTTCTTTGAAAAACCATCAATTTTCTATAACTCTCACTGCAGACTAACTTGTCTCAATTGATTCAAATATGCTCTAGTAGTCTAAGATCTAAATATACCAGTCCATTTTTGTAGATATTCATACCTGCATAATTAGTTTAGTTATTGGCAATATGGATGGCTACAGTCCATCATAGGTATTTGGAAAAGGATAGACACAACTGTTTATTTTATCTTCTGTTCCCTCTAAATTTTTGTAAAATTTGTACACTTCTGTTAAGATAAGAGCACTTAAGAATTGATCATGGATTCATTTCCAGCGTGTAGTAACAGTTACGCTAGTGAGTTGAATAGACTCATTTGCAACCTGTCGTGGTTGGAGTTTCATAGTGTCCTTCCAGGGCTACAGTAGTATATAGTAGATGCAGTGACCAACCTTGCTTACTTTCACCCTCTTCCTTTTACAGTCTCACTTATGGTGTTTTTGTTCTTAAGGAATTAAAGAATGTTTGATTCTCTTACAAAAAAGATTTTGATTATTAATAGAAAACATAGGATTTCCAAATAAAGTAATAATTGTTTCACGGTAAAATTTTTGAAAGTTATTTATAGACTACCTTCTCTTAATTATATCTAGATATGGTTTATAATCTCATCAAAATTAATGATCCCTTATCTAAAAATAATCTTTGATGATGATAATGTGCTAATAAAATAAACAAATTTTATCAGTAACTAGAGATGCTCTATCTTTTATGTAACTTTCTTGTTGCTATTGCCACCTTGACTGAAGAACACTATCATATGTTCAATGGTTGAAATGAAATGAATCATTGTTGAGATTGCTGCTGTTTGTGTGGCAAGTACTTAATGCTCTCATATTATTGTTGCATAATCGATTTTGTGCTGCATTTAACGCATTTTTTTTTTTTTTGTGCTTTATGGCAATGAGATCATTATACATTTATATTTTTTATTTATACCATGAATGCCTAGAGAAGTAAAATGCATAATTTGACTGTCAGGTTGGAGAACCACAAAAACGAAAGAGAGAAATATTTGGAAATAAGGGTGGTGATAAGGAGGTTATATCTTGTTCTCAATTTGTTTTTGGGTATGCGCTTTGTTTGAATGACAAAACAAAACACTCGTTCATTTTCCCCTAATATCTTCCTGTGGGTGGTAATTTATCAGTCGATGATCTGGAGCAATCTGCAATATGCAGGAATAAGTGCTTTGAGAAGTCTCCCTTTAGATCCAGGGAATCCTGCATTTCTTCACCATGCTGTACAGGGGTGAGTTTCTACCTTCTGTTGACCTTGTCTATGTGGCTGCTTCTTATATGGTGTCTGTGGATGGGATGCCATCGTAAATGTCCTGGATCAGATTGATCATTGATGAGTTTTTTTCCATCTTCATTATCGACCTTGATACTTGATATATTTAGTCAATTTGTTTGTGTTGTCATATCTGTCATATCTTCAGCTGGATTATACAATTTTCTAAATTATACAGCCTCATCACTTTGGAAACTGTATACCCATAGTTAACCGTGCTTTGTTTGAAGAGAAAATTTTGGTGTGCGAACCAGTGGGTAACTTTGCCAGGAGCAGGTGATTTGAGGATAAAGTGCACTGGAAAGAACCATTTGGTTTTGTGGTAACTCGGAGACAATTGTTCATTTGGAGGGCGAATGCCATCCTACGCTATTTGATTTCTCGGGCTTTCAGACTACAGTACAAGTGTCATGTGATGCTTATGTTGAAAATTTGATTTACTAATGAATAATGATATAATTTTTATTAAGATTGTATGTTGTAGTGCTCTATACTTGATATTTGGGGACAAGCCAGCGTCGTTTGATTGTTCAATGCCATTAAATTTTCTGAATCTTTGGACACCGATTCACAAATAAATTGTTGTCTTCTTGCAGTGTTTTGTTCTCCGACCCTGTAGCAGTGAGGCATTCGCTAGAGATTCTATCAGAATTAGCCACAAAAGATCCCTATGCTGTTTCAATGGCATTAGGTACTGTATTTGACTAGTTCTTGTTATCGGTTATTTTGATTTCAAACGTACACGTGAAATCCTGCATAGTTTTCTAAGCGAAGCATAGCTCTGTTTGTCAACGAAGTTTCTGAGAGTGCACATTATTATCTGAAGTTTGTGTTGTTTTCTTCTTCATCATCATCATAACACTCTTGTCATTTTTATTCTGTCATTTAGTGTTTGGGTTTTTAATTTTGTTTCTTTGTTTCTTCATTTATTGTCTTCCTGTATTTGTTTCTTTTCCTCAGATGAATTGAATTTTGTGAAAGACAATTGTTAATAAATACTGATTATAACTGAGCGAATTATTGACATGGAAAACTGAACAACAAATCTATGGTCATGTACAAGTACTGAATTATCTTTCCCATGCTTGAAATTGATGAATTCCACAGTGATGCGTACTTATGGAAATCTACATTTAGTACTAAATAGTAAAATTATGAATGGCTTTTAATTCTAGGCATGTTTTTCATCTTGTTGAGGAGCAGTATTCTTTCTCAAAAAATCTTTCCAGTTTGATTTCCATGTGTCAGAACTCAGTCATGCCATGAGGTCTCTTACATGATGAATCCATGGATTGAGTGGCCCAGCCCACTCGATGGTGGGGCCAAGTTGAATTCACGCCCAGCAGGCTTGGAAAATTGGGCGATCTGGACTGGCCCACATGATTAGATTAGTTGGGCTTAGGGTTCCTGAGGTTGGCCAAGATGGGTGGGTCTGCTTTCTGTTTTCACGTTGAAGTTATGGTTTATAAATAGAGCTAGTTTCTAAACAATACGACTTGG